ATACTATTATTATTATTGTTGTTATTGTTATTATTATTATTATTATTATTATTATCCCTCTGCTACAGATCAATGTTGTTATTGTTGTTATTATTCCCCTGCTACAGATCAATATTGTTGTTGTTATTGTTGTTGTTGTTGTTATTGATGAGTCGTGGTTGTGCTCCTCAGGTCTGGTGGCTCACAGTGACCTGGACGAACGAGCCATTGAAGCTCTGAAGGAGTTCAATGAGGAGGGGGCTCTGCAGGTGCTGGTGCAGTTCAAAGAGAGCGACCTGTCACACGTGCAGGTAAAACCCCTGAACGCCTCAGACAGCCTGCGTTCTTTAAGGTACTGACCCGGGACAGTCGGTGAATCTAAAGCGTGTTTGTTTGTTCCAGAACAAAAGTGCCTTTCTGTGTGGGGTGATGAAGACCTACAGGCAGAGGGAGAAACAAGGGACGAAGGTGTCAGACTCCACTAAAGGACCCGATGAGGCTAAAATCAAAGAACTCCTGGACAGAACCAACTACACGCTGGACGTCACAACGGGCCAGAGAAAGTATGGCGGGCCCCCACCTGAGTCCGTGTACTCGGGCGCCCAGCCCAACGTGGGAACAGAGGTATGACGGGACGTGTGGGTCTATGAAGGTGTTTCCCAACAGGCCGAGAGCTGCTGGGTTTAACTGTTTGTGTTTTCTCGTAGATCTTTGTTGGGAAGATTCCTCGCGACCTGTTTGAAGACGAGCTGGTTCCTCTGTTTGAGAAGGCCGGTCCTATCTGGGACCTGCGGCTGATGATGGACCCACTGAGCGGCCTCAACAGGGGATACGCCTTCGTCACCTTCTGCACTAAAGAGGCGGCCAACGAGGCGGTGAAGCTGGTGAGTGTGTCAGGACACGCAGCGTTTGTGTTGGACTGTAACTGTCTGTGACCTGCCTTCATAATAACTGTGGTGTGTGTGTGTGTGTGTGTGTGTTCCTCGTGCAGTGTAATAACCATGAGATCCGCCCCGGTAAGCACATCGGGGTTTGTATATCTGTGGCCAACAACAGGCTGTTCGTCGGCTCCATTCCCAAGAGTAAAACCAAGGAGCAGATAGTGGAAGAGTTCGGTAAAGTCACAGGTGAAAACATCTCGTTCAGTGTTCATTCACGTCATAGTTCACCTGTTGTTCTCTGTTACGACCCGATCAATAATCTGATGAACGTCTGCGTACAGAGGGCCTCAGCGATGTCATACTCTACCACCAACCCGATGACAAGAAGAAGAACCGAGGCTTCTGCTTCCTGGAGTACGAAGACCACAAAACGGCCGCTCAGGCTCGCCGCCGGCTAATGAGCGGCAAGGTGAAGGTTTGGGGCAACGTGGTGACGGTGGAGTGGGCGGATCCCATCGAAGATCCCGACCCAGAGGTCATGGCCAAGGTGAGCTTCACCCGTCACAGTGTCAGGGTCGTCCTGAGGGCCTTTACAGTGTTCATCCCATGTTCTCTTATAAAGTCTCACTGTACAGGGGAACAACTTTGTAACTGTGTTCAGTGATTGGATCAGTATCTGCAGGTCCCTTCCTGCTGCCTGTTTAACACGAACATGTTCAGGTGTAATGGAGATCGTCTGTATCTGTGTCCTCGCAGGTGAAGGTTTTATTTGTGAGGAACCTCGCCAACGGTGTCACAGAGGAGATCCTGGAGACGTCCTTTAGTCAGTTTGGAAAACTGGAGCGAGTGAAGAAGCTCAAAGACTATGCTTTCATTCACTTTGAGGAGCGGGACGGAGCAGTGAAGGTACTGAAGGCAGCTCTTCATGTAGTGCAGCTGGCTTTAAAGGCAGGGGTGTTAAACGTGTCGGACTCTGTTTCCTCAGGCATTGGACGAAATGAACGGCGCCGAGCTGGAGGGCGAGCCCATTGAGATAGTTTTTGCCAAACCACCCGATCAGAAACGGAAGGAGCGTAAAGCCCAGAGACAAGCAGCCAAGACACAAATGTAAGAGCCGTCTGTCCACAGTCCAACCCGCTGGTTCTGTCTCCATCTTCACTGCTCGCCTTCTCTCTGCAGGTACGACGACTATTACTACTACCCTCCCCCCCCCCACATGCCTCCTCCCGTCCGGGGCCGGGGCAGAGGCGGCAACCGGGGCGGCTACTCGTACCCCCCCGACTACTACGGCTACGATGACTACTACGACTACTACGGCTACGACTATCACAACTACCGCGGCGGCTACGACGACCCGTACTACGGCTACG